TGTCCTGCTCGGCAGAGGCAGAGCCTAACTTCCAAGAGTGGATGGAAAGATCCAGGGATGTTCCTACCACAGGACAAAGAGCGGCCTCCAAAGGACCTGGCAAACTACAAGCCTTGGAACAAACCCAGCCTACCACCTGTTGTTTTGTTTGGCAGGGCACCTGCGCAGAGTGGCTTTTACCTTTTTTTCAATAGTTGGGGAAAAAAAATCAAAAGAATATTTCATGGCATGTGAAAATCATATGAAATAAAGATTTCAGTGTCCATTAACAAAGGTTTATTGGCATTGTATTTATTGGTATTGTAAATGTGTATTGCTAGTGGGCTTTTTTTGCACTGTAATGGCTGAGTCCAGTGGTTGTGACAGATGGTTTCTGGAAGTCTCATGGCTTCCCGCTGCCCCTTGGTGTGTTGCAAATCACAGTCAGGTAGTTATGATTCAACAGCACTTCAAGTACCAGACTGTGATGATGTGACACGTACAACAATGACATGTACATGTACACGTACAATACAATATGACGTGTACATGCAATCTTCAGCCTAGACTAATGGGGTGATAAGAGTGTCTTTTATTATTCATAATAAACTTTATACCTGAGTTTCAGTCAGACCTGAGTGTATGCTGGTGAAGTAACTTTTGCTGCTTTCCTATGCAAGTTCAGGGTGGGAGCTGGTTCCTAGCACCAATTTGTAATTAGAGGATTGGAGCTTTCAGCTCTACTTCCCAACCTCCAGGGATGGGAGAGTGGCTGGATAATCACCAGAGGTAAATGACTTAATCAGTTGTGTGTATGTGACAAAACTTCCATACAAACCCTATACTATGGGGTTCAGGGAGCTTCTTGGTTAGTGAACGCATTCATGTGCTGGAAGAGAGGCGCACCCCAACTCCACAGGGACAGAAGCTCCTATGATCTAGGCCTTTCCAGGCCTTAGCCTATGTACCTCTTTATCTGGCTATTCTGTATCTTTTATATGTTCCTTTAATATAAATAGGTAACAATAAGTACGTGTTCCCCTGAATTCTGTGAGTCATTATAGCAAATTATCAAACGTAAGGAGGAAGCTGTGGGAACCCTCGGTTTATAGCCAAGTTGGTCAAAAGTATATGTAACCTGGGAACCCACTACTTGTGGTTGGCATCCGAAGGACGAGGGCAGTCTGGTGGGCCTGGGCCTTGAACCTGTGGTTACCTCTAAGTGGTTAGTGTCAGAATTGAAATGACTTTCAGGTAAACCCAGTTGGTGTCCACAGAGAATTAGAGAATTGTCTGGTATATGAAACCCACATATTTAGTATCCAAAGTGTTTTGAGTAGACACATACAAACAGAACAGACTTGTGGTTGCCAATGGCAAGGGTGTTGTGGCAGGGATGAATTGGGAGTTTGGGATTAGCAAATATAAACTATTATCTATAGAATGGATAAACAACAAGGCCCTACTGTATAGCACAGAGAACTATATTCAAACTCCTGTGATAAACCATAATGGAAAAGAATATTTGTAAAATAATGTACATATGTAGAACTGAATCACTTTGCTGTACAGTAGAAATTAACACATCATAAATCAACTATGTTTCAATATAAAAAAAGTGTTGTCAGTAGAGAAAACAGTTTCTCTTTACAATGTAAATCAACTATACTTCAATATTAAAAAAAAAAGTTTTCAGTAGACAGTTTCTTTTTATTACCAGTTCATATCCAACATGTCAAAAATAAGCAAAGAGAAAAGTGAACTTTGAATGTAACTATGAATTGTGGATTATTTTGTTATCAAATTAGATGACAAAGCACAGTATTTATTATGCAGTGAAACTGTCATTGTGCTAAAAGAATACAACATGTGTTGATATCTCCAGCCTAAGCATTCATTGCACTATTCCAAACTCAGAGGGGAAAAGAATGATCAGGAAATCTAGAATTTTAAAGTGAAACATCTCATCACAACAGAATTTCTTCAAGGGAATTCCCTGGCAATCCAGTGGTTAGGACTTGGCTCTTTCACTGCTATGGGCCCAGAATCAATTCCTGGTCAAGGAACTAAGCTCCAACAAGCTGTAGAGCCCAGCCAAAACCAAAAAAAATTTTTTCTAAAGCTTTTTTTCTTCAGAACAAAAAATGAAATAAGGCTACAAGCACAGTAAGTTTCTAAATAGTTCATTTGTTAACCAAGCAAGAAAAGCCTTGTAACTATGTTGAATTAAAGAAATCATTTGATTGCAACTGTAAACAAATGTGTCCAGAGAAAATTAACTTATTTAAGACTGTTAAGGCGTCCCGGGTAGCTCAGTGATAAAGAATCCGCCTGCCAGTGTAAAGGACACAAATTCAACCCCGGATCCGGGAAGCTCCCATATGCCCAGAGTAACTAAGCCTTTGTGCCCCAAGTACTGAGCCTGTGCTCTAGAGCCAGGGAACTGCAGCTTCTGAAGTCCTCATGCCCTAGAGCCCATGTTCTACAACGGACGAGGCCACCACAATGAGAAGCCGAAACACCGCAACCAGTGAAAAGCCCATGCAGCAACTAAGACTGAGCACAACCAAAAGTAAATAAATATTTTTTAAAAAAAAAAAGAGTGTTAACCTTTCATTGACAATTCTTGCTTAGAGAGTTGAAGACACTGGGACCAATGTCAATGGTCAAAAAACAAGGCAGATGGTTCTGAATGGTTTTCCTTGGCTTTTGATGAGTAAACAGATGTTACAGATGCTGTAAACTGTTGTCTTTCTGAGGAATTAGTGGTGAGTTTGAAGTGAGTAAATAATTAGCCTCCATGAATAGTCTGCATGGGTTAACTATAGACAAGAATATTTTCCAAAAGACTGAGGAAACACTAATTCAGTACAATCTGAAGTGGAATGTGCTAAAATGTATTACAATTGATGGTCATTAAAATCTGTGTCAGGCAGAAAAAAGCTTAGAGTGGGAACCATGCAGAATGCAAAGCCATGAGCTTTCCTAGAAGATTATAAGGAACGTGGGGGTTTCAGAAAGTAAAACCAGGGACACCAAACAGAGCTCACACTCAATTCAGTGTCAGAGTGAAAGGATGTGAGACCAAAGACCCCTCCCCCCGACACACAGACAGTGATGCTATGACCTCCTGACTTGGTTTGGGTGATGAAATGATGGAAATTATATGGCCTCTCCCAGGAGGAAGCTTTAAGAGTTATTGTTTCATGCCTCCAACTCTTTTATTTTCCCCTGTTTATAGGCCAACACACCCCAGGTGGGAGCTGCTGGTTCAGCCTGGGTCTCAGAATAAAGAGATGAACAACGGAGTCTCTGATGACTCATGACAGGCATGCATGTGACCCATGACCCATGAATGTGGCTTTGTTATGTAAGGCACTAGGATGTTGGCATAACTTAGCATGAGCTAATGGATACAGGGGCTTTCTGATAGCTCAGTTGGTAAAAAATCTGCCTGCAATGCAGGAGATCTCAGTTCAATTCCCAGGTTGGGAAGATCCCCTAGAGAAGGGAAAAGCTGCCCACTCCAGTATTCAGTATTCTGGAGTCGCAAAGAGTCAGACATGACTGAGCAACTTTCACTTTCAGTGGATACAGTGATGTTAGACTTTGAAACTTTATTTCGGCCAGAAGAGGGGATTTCATGGGCCTTTCATTCCACTTAAGTTATCTGCTGATGCCCATGAGTCCTGGGGTCCATGCTCCACAATAAGAGAAGCCACCGCAGTGAGAAGCCGGTGTACCACAGCTGAAGGGTAGTCCCCGCTCTCCACAACTAGAGAAAAGTCCTTCCAGAAACGAAGACCCAGTACAACAGACGGAATAATAATAATAAATTTTAAAGATAAATTTAAAACAATGTTAAAGGCAGAGAAAGGAAGGAGGAGCAGCAGCAAGGAAGATCAGGAAACAGGGCTTCAAGGAACACGTGGTCCACAGGATCAGAGATGTCAGGGGCTCGGGGGAAGAGATGGGACCCCTACTAAGCTTCTGTCTTATTCCAGAATACTTATTCACTTCAAGGGAGTGAATGAATAGGTTAGAATCAAATTACAGTGAGGTGAAGAGAGAATGACCCAACCACCCACCTGACTTGCTGAAGGAAGTGAAGGTAGCCCCTCTCTGACCGCACTTGAAAGAGCTTGGCTGAGAAAACCAATGACTAGAGGTTAACTGGAGAATAAAGCCAAGGGATAAATGCACAGTTAGTGTCCCCTTGTACCTCAGTATACCCAGGGATTGGTTCCAGGACAAATCCAAGGATGCTCAAGTCCCTTATGTAAAATGATATGTAAATAGTTGGCAGCACATGGCAAATTCAAGGTTTGCATTCTGGAACTTTCTGAAAATTTTCAAATATTTTCAGTCCTCTGTTCGTTGAATTCAAGGCTGTGTAACCCAGGGACGTGGAGGGCCCAATGTATTCCACATTTTCCCCTGTTGTCTATATTTGTACATTTACTACACCTGATGCTATTTACTTAAAATACCAAATACTCATAAACCTTCTTGACACCCACATTCTTCCACTGATCACTTGATTCCTACTCTCTATTTCTTCTCCCACCTTACAAACACACATATATGCACATACACACTCAAACATACCCTTACACAGACAACTATGTAACCGGCCAACTAGGTACCCTAGAGGAAAACAGTTCCTTAGCCTGACCTTAGATTCCAGACCATCAGACACCAAACAGAAAACCACAGGAAAGCGGGAGGCGGGTGCAACCTGGAAAACAGGGAACGAAAGGTTCCACTGGGCGGGTGTTTGGTCAGACATGATTTCAGTATGACATTCGAGAGAAGATAATTGGCATTTTATAGGGAATGAAAATCAACAGCATTTCTAATTTTATTTCTTGCTGGGATGACAGCAGGGAGTTATGAATACTGATGAGCTTGGCAAAATCCGACTTCAGGAAGGGAGAGGGAGGTCCCTCGCGCCTGGAGATTGGGGCTGAGAGCAGGGAGGAGCTGAGGCCCAGGGAGGCAGGCTAGCTTCTTTGCAGGCTTTACCTCGTCAGGAAGGCACAGGCTTCCAGAAGCGCTGTGGGACACAACAAAGCCAGAGATTCAGAAAAGGATTCCTTTTTTTTTTCTTGGAATCAATACATCAGTCAAAGAAGACACTCAAACAGACTTCCCTCTGCCCTTCTTCCCCACTGTAGGTCAAAGCTTGCCATCCCCATATTTCCCAATGACCCCTCCTGCTAAGAGCAGCAGGACCCAGGGGAGCACACAGAAGCTCTGGTCCTCGTTGAGCTTCGAGATTTCCTGCTCTGGCCTGAGTGACACAAGCCCCACCCACTTGTCTCCAGGTGAATCAGCTGTCACACTCTCAAGTTCACATGGTCCTCGAATTTCTTCTGTGAGCAACTGATCATCTTCGTGCAAATCTGCCTGCAGTAGCGTCTATGTACTCATTCACTCATTCATCCATGAATCCCTCCTGAGCACCTGCTTTGCACGAGTCTCTGTTAAGTGCTGGGGATTCAGCACAGACAGAGGAGCCCTGCCCTCCACAGGTGTATAGTGTCTGCCGTCCTGAGTGGGCTGCTCTGAAGAGGAGCCCTGCAGCAGGGTTTCTAAGTGTAGCCCTAGATCCACCTGCATCACGATTCCCCGAGGCATCTGTGGATACAGCAGGGTTTCCCAGCCTTGGCACTACTGACGTTGGGGCTGGGCAATTCTTCATTGTGAAGGCTGTTCTGTGCTTTGTTTAGAAGTATCCCTGTTTCTACCCACAGATGCCAGCAGCATCCCCGCCCCAAGTCATCAGAATTAAAAATACTTCCTGGCATTGCCAAATCCCTCAAGGGCAAAATCATCCTCGGTTGAGAACCACTGATGTAGAGTCCCAGCCTTCCCCCTCCCCCAGACCACCACACAAGCCCCACCAAGGCCTCCGACTCCCCTGGGGAGGGACCGGGAATAGGGACCTGGATGACTCCAGTGCACAGAGGAGGCAGAACTCACTACGATGTGGGAATTATTGCCTGGAGCCTTACAACACTCTGCTATGTCTTCTAAACATTTTTAAATTGTCAATACATTTTCCAGGCTAAAATGGTTTTTGGGAATTTGTATTCTCTATGGTTACTGTTTGTGATAACTGCCTAGAAATCAGAATTTGCCATTTCTTAATATATATGTATATACATGTGTACATATGTTTATAAGCATTGACATGCAGGTTCTTTACCACTAGCACTACCTGGGAAACCGATGTATATACATACATACATATATTTATGTACATAGATATATTTACATGCATACACATATTTACAATTGCTATCAGCATTATAAAAATTTAGCATATTATCTACTGCTTTACTTTATTCTCTAATTCCTTTACTTCATCAACAAGAGCATAATTTCCTGAGATATTTGTTGTTCAGTCACTCAGTCATGTCCAACTCTTTGCGACCCCATGGACTGCAGCACACCAGGCCTCCCTGTCCTTCACCATCTCCATCTCTGAGGTACAGAGACATTGTATTGCCTAAACATTTTTAAACCCACATCACCCCCAAAATGTTTGACCCTCCAACTTTGACCTTCATGCAAGATGGTTTCTCAGTGATGCTACTGATATTCCACTTACGGGAGGTTGAGCATTTTTTCAGGTTGGCAATAGCCGTGACATACTCTGTCCCCAGATATTTTTCGTACGTTGGTCTGCCTTCAAGTTTGGCCAGACACTCAGTGTTGTCATTGAACAGAAGGTTTTTGGTTTCAGATTTGAACAAACAAAACTTGTCCGGGCAGTCTTTTCCATTTCTCCCAAACAGAACCTGTGTCAGAAGGGCAGACAGTAAGAGACCAGCTGAGGAAAAGAGGAGAGATTATGGACCTGGGAGGCAATTTCTGCTGTGCAGGGTCAGCTGCAGGAAGACCGTGGGGCAAAAGAGGCTGACCTCTAGAATCGATCCGCTGTCCTGGCTGAGCCTTCCCCTGCCCTGTGTCCCCCTGCTCCAGGCCCCAGGCCAGCGCCCAAGCACCTCACCACTTCTGATATCACTTCCCACCATCTTGCCTTGCTTCTTAATCTGTGGCCTCCGCCCTCAGAACTTCTTCTGGGTGACTAGGTACCAGATAAGGAGTTTGAGAACCGTCCTCAAGGTTAATCACCTCTAGCATTCTAATAGGCCAGCTCTCCCAGAGGGGCAGTCTGCATGGGAAATACTCTCGGCCACAGACCAGGTCATTGCCTTGGGCAGGTCACCTAGTCTCCCCCGACCGTGGTTCCTCCTTTGTGCCCAGGGCTCCCAGAGGTGAGCTGCAAGGACCAAGCACCTTCATAGTGGAGACCTCTTATCAGCACCTGTGATGCATAGTGGGAGCTCCATACATGCTAGTTACTGGGCCTATTTTTACATCCCAGGGTCACTGTCTTTAAAGCACATCTACAAGAAAACATGCCGTTTTAACACAGAACTAGACAAGCTAATTGAAAAATCCCAGACTTTAAGGAAATTATAGGATTTCTTTCAAATGTCTTCACATAGATAGCCTTACATCTATAGAGGTTCTGGGTCAGTTGTTTTTAGAGATTACAAATGCAGGGGCCTTGTCGAGAAAGCTGCCCAGCCAGCCCAGGCTCTGCAGACATCAACAGAAGAAACTCAACTCTCTACCTGACTGTGAGAGCAAGGCTCAGTCACCTCCCTCATTTGCCAGAAGAACAACAGGAGGCTCAAGGAGAGACAGCCTCTCCTGGCTGGGCAGCGAGCACACGTCCAGGGGCCTGAGACTCGGGGCAGCCCCTCAGTGTGGACAAAGACTGTCATCTCCAGCGTCAAGCGGGGGCCCAAGGACGGCTGGAGATGAGCGGCTCCGCTGGGCTCCGTGGCTGACCAGCTAAGGGGAGGCCCTACGATCCTCACCTGCTGGTGGAGCAGCACCTGTTCCACATGTGCTGCCCTATCGCTCCGAGACACCACAGCGTGACTTGGGGCCGCCGCCAGGTAGCAGCTCTGAGCCTCCGTCACAGGCTTCCTGGTGCCATCGAGGCAGAGCAACCTGAAGTCCTCCTGGTTCAAGTTCTTAGCCCAGTCTGCACTGCTCCCTCCTGGAGACAGAGAGAAGGCTGCGTCAGCCACGGCTGCCCGGCTGAGTCAAAGCCTCCTTTCTGGGGCTGTGACCACCCACCGGCCTCTTGAAATGCACACACGTGAAGAAGAACAAATGAAGCTCCTCAAGTTATACAGACTTCAAACGTATCAAATATCCGCACTATATCCTCACGATGGAGTCTTACTCAGCAACAAGAAGGAGCCAAGTTCTGACACACGCTACCACGCAGATGAAAACATGATGCAAAGTGAGACAAGCCAGTCACAGAAGACCACGTATCGTAGGATTCCATTTCTGTGAAATGCCCACGATAGGCAAATCTATTTTTTGGAGACAGAAAGTGAATTGGTGGTTGCCAGCTCTGGGGGTGGGGTGAAGGGACTGCTAACAGGAGCAGAGCTTCTTTGAGGGGTTTTGTGAACGTTCTCCAGTTGGATTTTGTTGGCAACTGCACCACTCTGTGAATGCGCTGGAGATTACTGAATCAGACAATCCGAATGGGTGGATTTTACAGTAGGTAAATTATATCTCCACAAAGCTGTTACATTGGAATGTGTATCATAAAAATACGGAAAATCCATATTTTCCAGCAAGTTCCAGAAATAGAAGTGCTGGTTTGTGTTCAAGAAGAAATTGTTTCCTTTCATATTCCAACGCTCTTAATGTAACTAGAAGAAGGATAGGAACTTCTCTTATGGGTCTATCAAATATATTTAAATCAATTTCAATAAAATACAGCTGCAAAATCCCAGAGAAGCTTAAAACTATACTCAGCTGAGCCCTGGAGATCACTTCGATTCAAGGTTCCTGAATTCAAAATGCAGTTGTGTGCATGTCCGCCTGTGTGTATGCAAATCGCCTGTGTGTATGCAAATACGGTTTCCTCAGTCACACGGCTGCTTCTCTCCTTTTGCCCTCTCCCCTCAAGAAAACACTTCCTCCAATCTCTTGGCTTTGTCTATTCGATACTCAGATCATCCCAAAATTTACATGTCTGGCCTCGGTCGCTCTCCCCAGGGACTTGAGGAAGCAGAGGCTAGGACTGGAGCTGGCAATGAAGGAGGGAGGTGGAAAGCTGAGGCAGTTCTTTCTCCAGGGGAGGAAGTGGCAGTTCCCTCTGGGTGGGGAGGCTGTCGGGAGGTGAGCACAGAGGTGCAGTTTAGAAGGTAGCAAACTGCTGAGAGTCTTGAATTTATCATTATTATTTTCACCAGAGTGGCTACTTCTCTACTGGCTGGCCGATCTTCCCTTTGATCATCTGCATCCGCCTGTGATTTTGCCCTCATTCACTCCCCAAGGGGTCTGCCCACTGAGAGTTTATAGGGGCTGAATGAAGGCTTCTACTTCCTTTTTAAAAAGGGGAAATTTTACTTGCATATATCAATTTTTTTTTTTTTTTTTTAGTATCATTCACCTTCAACTTCTGATCAGCTGAGGCAGGCAGATGACGTGCTTCTGTGGCCCAGAATGAAGGTCACCTCTGGAACTGACTGAGCTCCATTGTAACCACCGCCAAAAGCCCACCTGATCCTTACCAACCAGGTTCCTGACTCCATATTATTAACAGGAAAAAGTGCCTACCCCGGTACTCACCCTCTAGCGCCCTAACCAATCACCTAATGCCACCCTTCCGGCAGCAATTTTCGTCTTGAGGCTATAAAACTTGGCTACTTACCCAGGAAAGAGTTGGCTCTCCCTTGAGCCTAGTTGCTGTTCTAACAGCGTTCGGTCGACTCTCCCTGGTCAGGAGGTCAGCCCACTGTGCCTGCAGCACCCTCGTTATCTCTGCTCCTTGTTCTTATAAAGTCGCTCCTTTCTGAAATACTCTGTGTCAGGAAATTCTCTTCCAACCCACGCTGGGACTGCCACAACAGTAGGCTACGTTATGACGGCAAAGACTGTGCTCTGAAGGGGAAAGGAAAACACCTTCACCTACCATTAGTGTTCTCCCAGACTGTGTCATTTTTCACAAATGCAACGTCCCCAACGTCCTCAGCCAGGCACCTAAATTGTCCCAGAGAATAAAAACATTGCCAGAGAGGAAAAACTATTAGAATTTTCATAACTATTTATAATACGCATTCCAAAAACTGCAACATGGAAGTAAACATAGAAAAAATAAAGACAAATATATCCAGGAACTTTAGAGTTTAAAATGGTAGCTGAAAGACTTCTGAGTACCCTCCCTCCTTCTAAAATGCCAATAACATGGCACGAATGAGATTTTTTTTAAAGCCACAAATCCATGAGTGAGAGGAAGGCAAGAGGGAAAGAGAGAAGATAATAATGTGATTTGGAAGTCAGAGATCAAACGGGTGAGCGGTAATTGACCCAACAGAGCAAAGAAAACTGTGACATAAATTGGACACCCAAGTGTCCAACTTGGGTCGGGGACACCCAAGGAGAAAGCTGATTTGCATAGCAGACCTCCAGAAAGACTCAACAATTACAAGTAAAAGGTACCACTGAAAGTAGCTGAGAACAGGAGGACTAAATAGAGCCTATATACATGCAGTGTAAATACACATGCGCCATTCAATGGATTAAAAGAAGACCCACATAAATACCCTCTTGAAGTTTCAGAACACTGGAGGGAGATTAAAAAATAATTTTTACAACTATTGCTTATTTCTTTTTTTTAAATCAAAAACTTTTCAAGAAAATAATTTTCAAAGCATTTTACATTGGATGAAACCCTGAACTCATTTTTCCTAAAGAGTATTTTTCATTCATTGTTTGATCTCTGAAATTTAGAGATAAATATGCATCAAATATGTCTGATTTATTTACTCTTCAGAAAAATATTATTTGTGTAGATCTGTTTACTAAAACATCTCATGAGCTTTCTAAAACTTCTCTCTCAGAATTAGGAAGCCAAAAATAAACTGCTGAAAACTTAAAAACGATTTTCTTTTCAAGAAGAAAAAAATGTCATATACAAAGAATTAAGGATCAAAAACCACTATCAGCTTTCTCATCAGAAACTCTAGATTTAGAAGACAATGGATTGATGATGTTAAATTTCTGAATTTGCTTATTTTCTATGTTACATTCTGCATAATTTTTTCATATATTTTTCACATCACTACTTTTCTTTTTAGCTATGTTTAATCTGTTAAATTGGTCAGCTGCATAGCTAACTTCAATTGCTGTACTTTTTTTCCTTTCTAGAAGTTCTATTTATTCCTTTTAAGAACACTAATCTGCTGATTCTTCTGTTTTCCACTTCCGGCAACTTCTTCCCTGTGTGTTTGTTTTAACATTGTTATAGTTATTCTTTTCACTGTGTCTGGCTCATTATTATTCAGAGTATTTCTGAGCAGTCTTTGAGGCCTAACCTGAAGATGCTGTCTTCCAGACAGGTTCCTAGAGAAGTGATCTCCTTAGTCTAGGGTCACTTTTTTTAGAATTAGGAGTTGAGAATTTCTGAACCATCCTAAGAGACACAAGTTGGAGCTGCAAATTCGTGTAAGAGCTGGCCCATGGTTTCACTTTTTCAGGGATGGTATGTATTTTCCTCAGCATCTAGGCAACTTGAAGCCCTATGGGAGTGGAGGGGAAGCTACCTCTCGTTCACCCCTACCCTAAAGGTATATGTAACCTGAGTGTAATTTTGTCAGTCACTAACTGTCCTCAGGACAAAGTGGCTCCACTTAGCTCTCTGAGTCCCTATCCTCCTTAGATTTTAGTCTAATAATCCCTTGTTACTTTGTCAGTTATTCAATGCTCTTAGGAATGTGTCTGTGTGTGTGTGTGTTTGTGCTGAATCCAACATTTTTCCTTGTTTTTCGTGGGACAGTTGATCAAGCCAGTTAATACTGCCATTTCCCAGATGTGGAAATCCTGTCAAAATTCCTAGGGAAAATTTTTTCTAGCCTACACTTACTTATTCAAACTATAAATCCCTTCAAGGGTGGACTAAAGATGTTTTTAAACATGTAAATACTCAAAAACCAGCAACTCCTATTCACTCTTTCTCAAAAAGACATGTTCTGTCACAACAAAATCCTGAAAGCGAAAGATGAGGGATCCAGAAAACAAGTCCTTTAACAGGAAGTAAGACAATGGAAAATCCCAGAATGATGATTCAGGGGAATCCCAGGAGCAGTTGTGCGGGGGGCCTAGAAAAGATCAATCTAGACTGGGAAGGAGGGTGGAAACTTCAGATGCAACATTGGAAAGTAAATGATGAACCTGGAGCAGCACCCAGTCTGTTTATGCATAGAACGTTAGGAGATATGTGCTACGAGTAGGTTTGAAGATGAATGAGTGATTTTTTAAAGCAGTATAGAAAGTTAAGCAAAGTTTAATAAGACATTTATCAACTCCAGAGTAAACTAAAACTTTGTACAGTAAGGGAAATATAGTCTTATTATATCACATATTTAATATGAGACTAATATTTGCATATTCATAATAAAGTAAGCCCTAAATACGTCATGCTCTTGTTGGATACCAAAAGGAGGTGAAGCTTGTGGTTATGAGTGGAAGAGGCACAGGAGCAGTAACAGAGGCTAGATTTTCCTCCTTCATAATAAAAAATCAGCAGAAAATAGCTGACATTTAAAAATTGAGAACCAGCAGTATATGAGGATGTTAGAGAGATGAACAGAACTTCCAGTTCCAACTTTCGAGTTGAGCAAAAGACAAAGCATTTCCTTCTAGCATAAATAGGAATTCTAAAGTGTATGTGTTTTCAGTGAAACAGTGCCTTACTATAGGTTTGAAAAGGAAAACCTCATGGTTTTTTATCAGACAAGTTGTCTGTTCAGTATTTCTGAGTGGAATCACATCACAGCTTTTCCATGTGCAAAAATTTAGCCCCTTAAAAATTTTTTGTACGTTCACGAAATATTTAATAAGTCACTCAGAGTATAGCAAAAGCTACTCTTATATCATCCCATCACTGGAGAGAGGGCTACTGAATTTATATTAAAAAAATTCCAAGACCAGTTTGAGCAGTTTCTCAGATACATGACGCCACCTGGTGGTGAAATATATTCTTGGCGAATAGAGAAAAAACAACGGATGGGGGAGAACTCTGCCCTTCCAACCCCTAATCATATCACTCAGAAGTAACAAACAGCTGCATGAATGGGATTGAAAAAATGAGGACTGTGAAAAGATACTGTAATTCACTAAGTGTTTATAATTTGTGAATTATGAAAACATTTTTTGGTTTATTTTTCACTAGTGGAGAATAACTCTGCAACACTCTTTCTCTGCCATTTCTAAGGCCAAAATCAAAGAGAGCAGAAAAACGCGAGACATAACTACCTAGACTGGGGGAGAAGGTGGTGCTTACGGGAAACAGAATTCTTCCCCATAAAATTGAGTTGCCGAAAGGACTTAAACCACAACCTCTCCCTATCTGATTCTGAACATGACACTGAGGTCCACTGAGATTGACCTTGGTTCCAGGACACAGGAAGGGGCCCAGCAGAGCTGAGGTCAGACAGCCCCGGGGTCAGTCCCCACTCGTGGGATGGTGGGTGTGGTGGGAGAAGCCCTCCCCTGGCCCGCCCATCAGCTGATCCCCAGGCTGCCCCCCGAGAGACCACATTAGGCCCCTTAGCAATGCAGTGCCAAAGGCGTGCGGGTACAGCAAGGGGGAGGAGAAGAGAAGCACTGAACTGTAGACGTCACCACGTGTAAAACAGACAGTCGCTGCACCACACAGGGAGCTCAACTCGGGGCTCAGCGATTAACCTGCAGGGGTGTTCCGGGGGGCCGGGGGGCAGAGAGGGAGGCGATATATGTATACTCCTGGTACTTAGGGCCGATTCATGCTTTGTACGGCAGAAATCAACAGATCATTGTTAAGCAGTCGTCCTCCAACTAAAAATAAAGGGAATATATTTTACAAAGAGAGAGAAAAAACAAGAAACGTGGTGTGCCAAGGTCCTGGAGGATGAGGGACAGGCCCTGTCCTGATGAGGCCTGGCCACAGCACTCACCGGAAAGCCCCGGTATAGCCATAATACTTCTCCTTAGAGTTGGGCACACACTTGTCCAGGCCCCGGTCATCGCCAGCACACAGTGCACAGAGACTGGATTTCGGGTCGGCCCCAGGGGCACAGCTCTGACTAAAGAATTCATCTGCAGAGAAGAAACAGGGGGAGCCAGCTCTTCCTACCTGTGTCAAGGTTAAGTGGTCTTTGCATAACAGGTGACGGACGTGGCTTGGTTTCCGTTCATCACACTGACCAAGGCAGACAGAACACAGACATTATAACACGTAGTGACAAGTTACCACCAACCTGGGCCCCAGCAGGATTCAGAAAAACTTGAGACTATAGGAAGCCTGACTGGGGCCGGAGAAGAGAGTCTGTGACTGTACAAAGGGTCCCATCATCGCAGCCTCGAGCAGAGGACTCAGCTTGATGAATTCAATGGCCATGGTATCAGAAGCTGCAAAATGTCCAGGTTCTGATCTCCCCTTTTCCTCAGTAATAGGAACCCTGATTTTTACCGGGGCACCTGGTACTCAGTAAAACAGAGATGAGCCTTATCAGACTCTGTGGCTAGTAAGCCATGTGGCTAGGCACTCACTCCTGAAATAAGAGCGGGAGTATCGGGGGCCAGTATCCTGACATCTTCAAAAGACAGTTGGCACACATGTTCTGCCCCTTCTCCTTCCCTTCCTTCATTCTGCACGTGGAAAGCAGAAGCAGGGGCTGGGCCGCCAGATGTGACAGGAGCCGTGAGTGACCTTGAGCATGGAAGTCACATACGTGTCAAAACAGCCAGATATTTGAAAGCCAGGTCCCTGATACCATGTTGCTCGTCCTGTCAGCTCTGGATAAGCCACCTTTGGGCTTCACTCACATGAGAGAGAAATAAGCCTTTCTATTCACTTCTACTGGGGGTTCTCTGCCCTTGCAGCTGAACCGAATCTAGACCAACTCATCATGCGATTTAGCCCACATTAAGCAGTGAGTGGGGGCTTCTCTGGTGGTAAAGAATCCACCTGCCAATGCAGGAGACTCAGGTCCAATCCCTGGGTCAGGAAGATTCCCTGGAGAAGGAAATGGCAACCCACTCCAATATTCTTGCCTGGAGGAATCCCATGGACAGAGGAGCCTGGCAGGCTACAGTTAATGGGGTCGCAGAGTTGGACACAACGTAGCGACTAAACAACAACAAGAAGTTAACACAGATTAAAACAGGTTAAAGAGAGAGAAATAAAAGTGACAAGGAAGCCCTGCCTGAATGAGCAAATAGCACCTCTTATCTGACTTGTGCATTCCCACTGGAAAAGCCACACCACGTGCCAAGCTCAGGCGATGCTGGGAGTGTCCCTCCACGGTCCTGGCAGCCTCCCCACAGCTTAGAGGCAGCCATGGGGTCAGAGAGAGCCACACCAGTGTGCACTCCTGGGGAGGAGCAGAGCCATATGAAAGCCTTCCAAGGAGGAATCGCAAAGACCCATTCAAAATGCAGCAGGGCCCCACCGGAGCAGAGGCTTGCCCGGGACGTGAGCCACGAGAACGTGGCACACACCTCCCCATCGCCAGGTCCACGGCAGGTAGGGTGTGGCTAATGTGTGAAGCGTGAGCATGGTGTACAGTGGGGAGGGCAGGAGCAGGGAGGCTGAGGCATAAGTCTGGAGGTCTTACTGGGCTTCCTCTATAGGTCAGTTCTGTGTAGTAGCAGAAGACACCTTTTATGAGGAAGGCAGGTGGCTTTTCCCAAATTAGGGAGCCAGCGCCTGGGAGGAATTTAGATCTGGAGCTCCAGGAGGTGGGGAAAAAAAAGACTTCTGAACTTCTCAGACCTGCGTCCATTCTTAGCGTGCAGAGAGACAGACTGACACTCCAGTTCTGTGTCTCCGTGTGGGGTGGACTGGGCGTGGGGCAGGCTGTGTGAAGAAACTGAAGAAGGCAGCCACAGGGGACCTTGCTTACACCAAACGAGGCCGGCAAATCCCCACCCTCCCTGCCCTGACTTTCTCAGGGGACCCCAGCCTACCCCCAGGATGGCCAACCCATGACTGCCTCAAGATTCCTACCAAATTTGCAGGAGCCTGTCTGGTTGGCAATCAGGCCCATGGGGATGTTCCAGCCTGCAGTCCTGTCCACGGCGGTGTGGCATGACTTCTTGCCTTTCAGAGAATTCCAAGTGAGCCCCTCATTTGCTTTCTTGACAACTGCCACAGCAAGGTACCCTTGGACAAACAGAAGAGCAAGTCTTAGCCTCCCAGGGCCCGGTCCGTGGACTCTACTGCACAGCGTGCAACCCAGGCCCACAAAGGTTAAGAAGCATCGCCAGGCAACGATCCCCCCAGATGACTGATCATTGTCAAATAGACCAACACAGCTTAAGCTGCTGCTCTATGTTAAGATGAGATAAGATAAGGCTATGAATGAAATACTAAGCTGATCCTTGAAGTGACCACTGGGGACTGTCTTCGACTAGCCACCCACTGTTCCTGGCAATTCAATTTTAGATGTGTGCTACTAAAGCCACAAACGCTGAACAAGTGTGACTCCAAACGTGCATAAATCACCAGCTACAACATGCCAACTGAATGGGGCCATAGCAATGATGGCCACCAGACTAAGTGCTCGCGGACACTGGGAGATGTCCCCAAGGACCTCCCTGCGCTGAGAGACGGCCAGTGGGGTGCAGCTCCCCTCCGGCTAGCTCACGCCTGGTAGACTCTGCTGCCGGCAAGCATCACTCTCTACCGAAGCTGAGGAAGCACCAGCTCTGGACAGTATTATCCATGGCTGTGAGTGAGATCCAGGGCTCTGCTTCCTCATCCATACGAGATGGGGATGGGCCACCCCTCCTCCCCATGCTCAGGACACAGTGAGGAACTCTGAGATTTTTCTGCCATGTGTGAGGGTCCATGTGAACATGAATCCCAGCCACTCTCATCTCTGAATGACTGGCATATGCGAAAGAACTCACAGCTTCTATGGCTGCATCTCTGTGAGTTTTTTTTTTTAATTCCCAACCTCTCCTCCTCCAGGGACAAGAACGTACCCTTAACCCTGAACTCACCTTCCGTTGGTCTCACCACACAATCTAAGCTACTGTCTTTGGAGGATTCTGAAAGAATAAAGAGAAGCAAAATGTCATTAAACACATTGCTTAGTGTGTTCATTTATTTTTCAAAGGTACACACATATTGAGAAACGCATATTGGCATGGTTTTGTATATGTTTGTTTTTAACATAAATAAATGGCATTGTAAAAAAAATAAATAAATGGCATTGTATAATAGACTTCACTAAGTTTCTTCCTTTTTTCGTTTTTAATTCAACCCAATACTGTGTTTTTAAGTTCTTTTTTTTAAACTGAAGTATAGTTGATTTACAATGTTGTGTCAATCTTTGCTGTATGGCAAAGTGACTCAGTTAAACACATACACACATTTGTCTTTTTATATTCTTTTCCATTATGGTTTATCCAGGAAACTGAACATAGTTTCCTGTACTATACAGTAGGGCCTTGTTGTTTATCCATTCTAAAAGTAATAGCTTGCATCTACCAAGCCCAAACTCCCAGCCCATTCCTCTCCCTCCTCCCAACACCCTTGGCAACCAGCCTGATTCAGTATGTCTGTGAGTCTATTTCTGTTTGTAGATAGGTTCATTTGTGCCATATTTTAGACGCCACATATAAGAGATATCATATGATATTTGCCCCAGCACTGTGATTTTAAGTTCGAATTGCCTTACTGTCGTATGTAACTCACTTGAGCTGAGTCATGGCTCCTAAGTTCACTGCTTCCATTGTGGTCATTGACATGTCTTCATGTCATGTCTTCATACATGTCTGGGGATGTACCCAGGGGTGGAACTGCTGAAACTAACGTCTGGACAGTTCGATCAACTATCTTTTTGTGTGAAAGCCACTTGGCAACTGGTTGGTGTTATTTGCAACCAAAGGACTCCTACCTAATCCTCACCAGTCGGAGGTGGGGGACACCTGGCCTCCTCTGGTTCCCTGTGGAGAGGCGAAGGATAAAGTGGCATTGTTTACACCTCCTTGCAGCACTCTCCATCCATGCCTTTGGACTCTGGAATTGGCTTCTCCTTGGGAAAAGGTCTCATCACCCCTGCTTCATGTGATGGGTAATTTGAATGTAGGTGTTGTTTTATTGGAACAGCATTCTTTAACTGGTTTATAACATTATGTAAGTTTGATTAGTACTATACCTATAGTGTGTGTGTGTTTGTGTATGCTCTTTGTGACCGCATGGACTATAGCCCCACAGGCTCCTCTGGCCATGAATTTCCCAGGCAAGAATACTGGAGTGGGTTGTCATTTCCTCCTGCAGGGGATCTTCCTGACCCAGGGATCAAACCCATGCCTCGTGCTTCTCGAACTGGCAGGCACCCGTATTCTTTGCCACTGCACCACTGGGGAAGCCCTGTTCCTGCAGTGTGCTCACCACCAAAACTTCAGTTCCCATCCATCACCTACAGCTGACCCCCGTTACCCATTTCCCTCTCCCCCACCTCTCTTTCCCTGTTTTCTTATCCACCATCTGTTCCCTGAATCTGTGTATTTGCTTTGGTTTGATTTTGTTTATTCACTTATTTTTTAACTATCCCACATAGGAGTGAAATCAGAAGGTATCTGTCTTTCTCCACCCGAGAAATCTCAGCAGTCCAGAATCAAATCCAAACAGACCATCCCAGCAGTTCCATGCAGCAGAAATGCACGTCTGTGTTCCCCACAGGACAAGGACCCAGATGTTCACAGCAACACTATCCACAGCAGCCCACCATTGGAAATTAGCCAAAGGCTTACCCACAGTAGAACAAATAAGTAACTGCAGCAGAGTCACAACAGAATACTACAGAACGAGATATAATGCTGAGCAAAAGACATTTTAAAAGGTCCATGCTGTGCAACTCCTTTCACATCAAGTTCAAAGACGGGCAGAACTGATTTGTGCCGTGTGAAGTCAGGAGTCGTTACCCTTGCTGGGGGTAACAGGGCTGGTGGATGCCAGAGGACTTGTGGGACCTACTGTGTCTTGCTGTGGGCACTAGTGCTTGGGGATGCACCGGTGTGTGAAATGTTCTTGAGTTGTACACTATGTGCACTTTTCTGAATACTTACTATAACTTCCTAAAAATCTTTTCAAAAATCAAAAAGAGGAAATCAATCTGGGCTCTGTCACTTCTCACCACAATAGGCTATGTGGGTAACACAGCCACTTGCATCTATTCTTTCTCCTGATTCTCCTGTTTGAACCTATCTGTCCATTTTAATGTCTCCGCATGACCCACCGAGTGGGGTTACTCCTCTCTACCCTGCCCTCGAAGCCCAGAGGGAATAAGCCAGAGGACACTCTTCTCCACTTACTCCGGTTCTCTGCCATGACAGGCACCAGACCACACTTGCCCGCAGTGTAGATATATCCTCCATCCAAGCTCAGGGCATCCGCTTCTCCTTTCTGCCAAGACAAAGCATATCTTCAGCACCACAGTGAGGCTATTTCCCATCCTGCCTGTCTTTACAGCTCTAACAGAACAGATGTCAGGTGCCCCAGCGAAGCAGCAAGGATGGATCTGAGCACCCCAAGGAAACGCCACGGGCACTATTAATTCTCTACCAGCCGTACATGCCTTTCATGCTGTCACTTCCACTGGAAAGACCAGGAACAGGCAGCCCAGTTGTTGCTGTTGTTTAGTCACTAAGATGTGAATGACCCTTTTGGAACCCCATGAACTGCAGCCCACCAGGTTCCTCTGTCTATGGGATTTCCAGGCAAGAATACTGGAGTGAGTTGCCATTTCCTCCTCAAAGGGATCTTCCTGACCCAGGCATCAAACCTGCATCTCCTGCATTGGCAGGTGGATTCTTTACCCCAGGGACTCAGAACAAAAACTCCTTCTGTACTTGGAGCACTGTTGGGACTCACTCCTGCACCAGCCTCCCTCACTGAGGAGACAGCTGGGAACAGTTGGTCTTGTCTAGTCTCCATTCATTAGCACTACACTCAAAGGATTCAGCAAGTGAAAGAACCAATTAAATTTGCTCACCATCAGAATGATGGAACTGGAACATGGGTTCAGCAAGACTGTGAAACTCCCTCTTTGACTAATAACTTTTTTACAACTGTATTGAAGGTAACTGGAGATGTGGATGAGGATTTCTATTCAAGGCTACACAGCACAGGGTTATTGATAACATCAAAATAAGGGGACAAAGAAGAATAGAGTCATGACTAAATTGTGCCACCTCCATACACAAGATATCCTGAAATAATTTTTTGCCACACCATGCAGCACATGGGATCTTCCCCACACAGTGATCAAACCAAGGCCCCCTGCAGGCCTCCCTGGACTCTTCAGTACTGGACCACTAGGGAAGTCACTGAAAAAAAATTTTAAGTGTTTTCAAAGCATATGTCACATGGCAAAATGGCCAAGATATACTGTTAAATGAAAAGGACTCAAAACAACGTAGCTGGCACAATCCACTACTGTTCCGAGGCTAAACTAAGATGAATTGATGAATCCTAGGGTGAGGAATTAGTGAAACTCTTAACTGTGGTGCTTTCCTGCTGGCTCAGGTGGTAAACAATCCGTCTGCAACGCGGGGGACTCGGATTCAAGCCCTGGTTCGGGAAGATCCCCTGGCAACCCACTCCGGTATTCTTGCCTGGAGAATTCCATGGACAGAGGAGGGCTACAGTCCATGGGATCACAAGGAGTCAGACCTGACTGACTAACACACATTAAACTGTGGTAGCTCCGTATGAGGTTCCATTGTTCTGTTTGTTTTTACATCACATCTTTCTAAATTTTCCAAATTACCTGCATTCACTGTGAGTTGTTCCTAAGATCAGAAGAGTGGGAAGCCCACAACAGACACTCTGGAGGACAGAAAGCTGCGTCTGTCCCCACTCTGCACAGGCACGGGCAGACCCTGCCCCCCTGGGGGCCGAAGCGCCGCTGAGACCCTGCTCCCCTCCAACCAGACGCGGTGACCTGGGCCCCCCACCCGCAGCGCTCGCAGGCCAGCGGCAGGCCCCCTACCAGCACCAGGGCGATGCAGTCGTCGGTGGTGGAGGCCGTGGCACAGGTCACGTTCTGGTCGCTCTGCTGGCTCCACTGCTGACACTTCTTCTCCTCCTCGGGTCCCACCGCGCACCACACCACCCGCGTGGACCGCGCCTTCACCTCCTCCGCAGCTGCCCAGGGACACAGCGGTCAACAGGCTGTACCAACAGGGCAGCCTCCCCGCTCACCCAGAGTCCACCTGAAGCCTCCAGCGGCGGAGGAGCCATGGCTGAGCTGACCCAGGGTGGTATCGCGGCCAAGCGCAGGGCCCAGGGCTCTGGATTCACCCCAGGAAGGGCCCTGGCCCTCTTGGGGTGTCTTCATACTTCTCACGTCCCCGGAGGCAAACTGACTGCTCTACCAGGGCCGGGCAACCTGACGCACACAGGGTCCTGCTGCAGTATTATCAGGAGGCGGCATGCTCCTGTGGAGGCCCTTGTCGCCTGACGTGTTCCACAGAAGACGCTCACACTCACATCACACCTACACGGTGAAGGCCTCCAGCGGCTGGAAGGTGACCAAGGGTCACCACAGAGCAGGGTCAAGCGGCCCACAGCGGGCAGGGCTGGAGGGTGTGAGGTGCCCACGGCTCACCGCCCACACCGGCCTGCCCTTAGGGCGGGCCTGGCCCTCACTCACTTTCCCTGAGGTTCTTCAAGGCGGTCAAGTAGCGGGCGCCCAGGTACAGCTCCGAATCTATCTTTGAGGGGATCCTCAAAAACCCAAGGGCAGAGTCTTTGAACAGCAGGTCCCTCTGGTTGCGTGGAGAGCCAAAGAGCTGGAAGCTCTGAGACTTGTTTTTTCCAAACTTCTCCTAATTAAGGGAAAGAAATTACGATGTCAGTGGTAAACAGGAAACCGAAACACCAGGTTGAAACAGAGTATCTGGAACTCCCAGATGATTCTGAGAGCTGGGTTGACCTCCTCCTGTAGAGGGTCTCATGGCATCCCTATGACATAGCTCAGTCTTGGCTTCGTCTTTACGAAGTTGCTGGGGTCTGAGCACCTTAGAGTCTTGAGAATATTGCATCATCCTCCCGCTACTTCTATTGCAGCCCGGGAGACACCGCCAGTGGGTCACGCTAGAGGAGGCGTCATTGTTTCAGCTATATGGAGTATGGCCTAGATAGGCAGGCCACTGAGTCTTCCAGAGTGGTGGGAAGTTTGGGAAGGAAGGAAGGAAACCTCCCCACCACCAGATCCAAGTGGGTGGGGGTCCTGTGGGTGGGAATACCTGTGCCTTGCTGAGAAGCTGCCAGATCAAGTCCTCCTTGCCATCCACACTGCGGGCCACAACTGCATGAGAAGGGACCTGAGCCAGGTGGCACTCCTTGAATGCATCCACTGGCGCCCGAGAGTTGTTTAGGCAGAGCAGCTCATACTGGTCCCTGTCAGCCTTCTCTGGCAAGTTCTCTGGGGGAAGGGAGAGGTGGAGAGGAGGGTCCAGATGAGCAGACCCCAGTCAGTAGCCATGAGCTGTGGCCCTCCCCCCATAGAATTTGAGCTGGAGGAGACATCTTATACAGTTGACAAAATTGGGGGTCAGAAGGGCAGTGGGTTGCTCCAGAACATTCGGAAAAGTAAAGACAGTGCCCAGGAAGCCTTAAGGACAAGCCCATGTTCCTCTGATTGGATCATACAGGCTCTGGGATGGTTGCAACTCTTGCCTGGCAAGCCAAGGACACTGAAGCAGACCCATCTGTTTCCATGACAACCCTACCCACAAAGGGTCCCAGGATGGAAGCAAGCCAGGGACTGCTGTCTTAACCCACATCTCTAGAAAGAATTAAAATGGTAAAAATTTTAAAGCAAGAAACACAGTTGAATCACTTCTCAACACTTGCTGCTGCTGCTGCATCACTTCAGTCATGTCCGACTCTGTGCGGCCCCATAGACGGCAGCCCACCAGGCTCCCCCGTCCCTGGGATTCTCCAGGCAAGAACACTGGAGTGGGTTGCCATTTCCTTCTCCAATGCATGAAAGCGAAAAGTGAAAGTGAAGTCGCTCAATCGTGTCCAACTCTTTGCGACCCCATGGACTGCAGCCTACCAGGCTCCTCCGTCCATGGGATTTTCCAGGCAAGAGTACTGGAGTGGGGTGTCATTGCTTTCCCCTTCTCAACACTTGGGTGTATCCAAAAAAGGGGCAAAGTGAGTGAGTCCATCCCGATTTGGAACTGTTGATCTATATCACATGTAACTTGCGTCAGAATACATTAAGTGATAGAAACTGACCCAAGTTGTTTTATGAGCTTAGTATAATTTGGATCTCAAAATCAGAGAAAGAAGTACAGGAGGGAATAATTACAGACCTATTTTACTTATGAACATAAACAGAAAAATATAAAATAATTAGCTAACTCAATATAACAGAATATTTTTAAACTAATAGGTCAGACTCTTACATTTATCAGTTTATTCCATTCACAAAAGAATGACTGAATGCCAAAGAAGCTAAAGACATTCATGACAAGAATGGATTAAAGGAAAACAATGAGATCATCTTAATAGCTACAGGGAAAAGCATTTATATGTTCAATATTTATTTGTGCTTTTTTTTCAGTTTTGGAACACTAGTACTATAGAGAACTTGACAAAGGTATTAAACTTGATAAATGCTAGTTATCAAAATATCTACAGCAAAATCATACTAAAAGAAGAAAATTTAAAGTCACTTCAAAATCAGGAACAAGGCAAAGATGTCAGTTGTGACACTGCCAACACAATACCAGATGACCTGTATTTTACAATTTACTAAAGAAATGAGAGATATAAACACTGGAAGGAAAAAGACAAATTCTAATTATTGAAAGATGATGTAATCACCGACATAGAAAAGCCAGGAAAACCGAGAAAAGAACTAATAAAACTAACAAGAAAGTCCAGCTAGGCAACACTGCAAAAATCAAGTGTTACCCTCATTAGCAATAACAGAACAGAAACTAATACAGAATATAATATACTATAATAGCAAGTAAAATCATTAAATAGCCGGTAATTGGTCTCACTGGCTTCTCGGGTGGTTCAGTGGTAAAGAATCCGCCTGCCAATGCAGGAAATGCAGGAGACATGGGTTCAATCCCTGAGTCAGGAAGATCCCCTGGAGTAGGAAATGGCAACTCACTCCACAATTCTTGTCTGGAGATCCCATAGACAGAGGAGCCTGGGGGGCTACTGTCTACAGCGTCACAAAGAGTCAGACACGACTGAGTGACTGCAATTAGTTTCATTAAACAATGCAGGAAACAAAAACCAATTCAGGAGGGAGCTCCCTCATGGTCTAGTAGTTAGGATTCAGTGCTTTCACTGTGGTGGCCTGGGTTCAATCCCTAGTTAGGGAACTGAGATCCCGTGAGCCTTTCTGCTCAGCCAGAGTAAGACAAAAGCAAACAACGCTGGAGACTAAGAGAAAAATGTTAAGCTCGGTAAGTTCTATTAAATAACCTAAAAAGAGGTGTGATCAAAAGGGAGAGATTTATTATGATCCAGGGATTAGAAAATTTGACATAAATAAATCAGTTTTTCATGGATAAATTTAAATTCAATACAATTCTACTTAAAGTATGATGTTTTAAACAATCAAGAAAATAATTCGAAAATTTTAGTTAGAAAATAAATAGAAAACTGTTTGGGGAAGGTTCTCTCTCTTTCTCTCCCTCCCACTTTCACCTCCATAAGCTATTAAGAACCACTACAAACCAGAGGAATAAAAGCAGAAAAATACAAATAGACCAGTGATACAAAATAGCTCAGAATCCATGATTATAAACAAGTTTTATGTATAAGCAGCTCCACACAGCAGTTGGAAAAGGGTAGGATTTTTTACAGTCAGTATTGTAAGGAAAATGGTCTCACTCTAAAGGGGGAGAATGCGGAAGTGGAATCCATACCTAATTTCCTAGGTAGGGTACATATGAACAAACAAGAATGTGTTAGGGAGGGGAGTCAATAAATTATACTGTAGAAAATATTTATGATTTGGATGGAAAATAGCATCTTTAAAAGACGCCAAAACATATGCCAGCAGGACAAAAGTGACCAATTTGATTTTATCAATATCAAGGACTTCTGTTCAACAAACCTGTTATTATTTTTTTGGTGTTTTTTTGACTGAGAAGAGATTTTCCTAAAGTCTAGAGAGGAGGAATGCCTCACCTTGAATCAAAATTATGAAGAAACAGGCATGAAAATCAACAGAAAGATAGTCAAAGGTGAAAAAAGGAAGAAAGCTAAGCCCAAACTACCAGCAAATATATTGAGATGATCAAACTCAGTAGATGCCAGAGAAATAACAGTGAATAAATCAACAGTGACATATCTACTGCTTTCCAACCGTAGATAATAAATGTTATATGTGCTCTCCAAGGAGCACTTCTCACCTGTTAAAACCACTGAACCAGACAAGTACAGCACAACAACACAGATAAATCTCTAAAACAGAATGCTGAGTGGAAAACCTTGATTACATCATAATCAATAACGATCACTAAAGCTTCTGTGAGCTTAGAATCCAGAAACACAGATCAGCAGTATACACTTTGCAAGACCACATCTATCTCGGAGGACATCTGTCAGATACCTTGACATGGGTGTCCTTGATGCAGAAGAGAAAGATAGCGGGCCCGCGCGTTTCAAAGAAAACTGATCGCTTAAAATATAAAGTCACATAAAAACAAGAGCTGTGCCCTGCAGAGAACTTTGATGATCGTGTGCCAGGAAGTGAGGAGTCAAATTAGCTCACTATTTGGAATTACAATGAAATAAAAGGAAAGAAAAGCAAAGGAGGCAGTACCCATGGCCCCTCTCCCTCCTCTTACCAAACACTGTCGTCTCCTTGATAAAAGCCACATCTCCAGCCCCGTCCTGTAGACACCTGTGGGATGAGGAAGCACCAGGAGGGTCAGCATAGCGCGGGCGGCCCGGCTGGTTCCCCGTGCCTGCCTGTGGAACGGGGCCCTGGGGCTTGTCTGCAGAAGACAGGTCTCTGAGGCTCTAGGGCCCCCAGTGGGAAGGCATCAGGGGCCACCTGCAGATGGATTCTGAGGAAGAAAGAACCAGAGGGTGCAGGCTAGAGACCCCCACTTTCCGCTTTAAGGGTTGATTGAGAGGGCAAAACTTTGACTTTCTATGTAAAAGAGTTTCCAAGCCTCTGCACCAGAGGGTAAAGCAGTACCTGCGGCCATGTGGTTTTTCCCCTCCCAGGGCTAAGTGGCAAACATGCCCCAAGCAGCAGAGAATCGGGGAGGCCCCCCCCCACCACAAAATGCCTGAGTCCACGAGGCATATGGCGTAAAAGCAGAAATATCAGCTTCAAGACTGGGGCGGAGGAGAGAACTCCCCAGTGAGGCAGAGATCACTACCTCCCAGAGAGAGGGACCAGGCTGTCCGGCTGCCTGGCCAGGAGTCTGGGGCCGGTCTGCCCATGACAGGGCTCCTTCAGGCCCTCAGTAGTTAGGGAGGGGACTGCAGTCAGCAGGAGGAGCCCAGGACCACAGAGGGACAAAGCCAGATTCAGGGATCTCTGGGGAGGCAGGAGGGGGCGCTGATGAGGTGACTGCTCGCTGGGCTGGTGCGGAGATGAGGGGGCACCTGGGGGGCCTGGGGGACTGGAGGGAATCGTGCACTGGGCAGAGCCAGCACCTTTTTCAGACTCAGATTCTCTGCACAGCAGGAGAACCGGACCTCCTCCATGGTCACTGAGCTCTATTTGGCCCAGAGAAAGGGCCTCCTAGCCCAAGGACACGTGGGCCGCTGGGGAGAAGAGGACGGTCTCACTCACCTGAAGGCACCAGAATACCCGAAGTATGGTTCCTGGGGGGAGCAGGCGCACTGGTTCTCCCCCGTCCCCTTGCACAGTTGACACAGGTTGGGGTACGCGTTTCCATCAACGCAGGGAACACAGCTGGCAGAGAAGAATTTGGCCACAGCTGTTGAACAGAGAGAAACGACCCAGGGTGTGAGCTCACCAGACCACAGTGGCAGCCCCAGTGTTCCCTCCCCTCCACCCCGCCTGACAGCCTTTGCAAAGCCAGGAGCTCAGAAGATGGACATTGGCTGACACTAGACTCAGCTACCACCTCCCAGGGCTGCTGATACAGGAGACCCCGCCCCCGCAGGCTTCACAGCAGTTAACCTCACCCCTGCCTTGGATTCATCCCACATGCTCACCTCCCCCGAAGTGGCTTATGTAGGTGCTCCTGGAGTAGAGACCCCAGCCTGAGATCACCCCGAGAACCCACACACATCTTACCTCCCTGGAGGGGCTCAAGTGACTCTGTCCAGCCCAAGAACGGGCGAAGGATTCCCATAGGGATGTTCCACCCAGCGGACCTGCCAAGGCCCGTGTGGCAGGACTTCCGGCCTTGCAGTTGGTCCAGCTGAAAGTTGCTGCCCTTCTTCACAACGGCCACAGCATAATAGTGGGTTTGGGGAGCTGCAGAAGAGGCAAAGAGAATCGAGAACTCTTACTTAGACTGGACCAGAGAGAGAGAGAAACAGCCCTCTCTGAGCGAGCCCCTAGTGGGAAGGGGAATTCCATCTGGTCACTGCAGCCCAGAGCCCCCTCTGCTTCCCTAGGGGGTCAGTGACCGACCCAAAAATAGCCCAGGGTCATTATTCCCTGGACGTGTGACACTGTCTGAGAACTCAGCTCTGTGCCTTGTCCACTCTGACCCCACGGAGCCCGGGGCCCAGGTCCAGGCCACCTCAACTTCTGGGTCCTCAGGGAGAACTCACACTTTTCCGTCCCGTAGATCTCTGCCGCTACTGGCCGCAGTTTGTAAGGGTCCAGGCCTGCCTCAAACACCAAGCCACTATCCAGGGTCACAGCATCCGCCTTTTTTGCCTGAAAACACAGGCCAGACCAGCTTCAGGAAAAAACCTACCCTAAGCCAGGCAAGTGAACCTCAGGATGTCAGAAGCCTCCATGGCTGGATCTTCCAGAGGGTCAGCTTCCAGTCACGTCCAACTCAGTTGCCATGAGAGGTGCTACAAGCCCAGAGCCCCTCTTCTTGGGCAACGAGCTCCAGCCCCGTTGCTGTAACTCCTGAGGTCGCCAGGTGGCCGCTTTTTCACACGACATGCCTCAGATCACTCAGCGATGGCACCCTTCACCATCTTCTACATTATAAGTTTTGGGGATGGACATGTACACACTGCTATATTTTAAGTGGATAACCAACAAGGACCTACTGTGCAGCACAGGGAATTCTGCTCAATGTTACGTAGCAGCCTGGATGGGAGGAGTTGGGGGGAGAGTGGATACCTGTATATGTATGGCTGAATCCCTTTGCCGTTCACCTGAAACTATCACAACATTGTTAATCAGCTATATTCCAATACAAAATTAAAAGTTCAGTAAAAACAAAAAGTTCTAGATGCTCCCTCCCCTGTTTTTGCTCTATATTTATTTTAAGTTCTTATTTATTGAATAGACATTTTAACTGTTAATATATCTTAAAGTTATCCTTATAAACCACATTCATCCTCTTTGGCATATTACTTCACCTATATTTACTTATTTCTCATATTTGCAGCCTGGCAGAAATAATATTTTCTGGACTGCTTTATTCATCTAAAACTGCCTGCATTTTCTCCTGTAGCAGCTTTATTGATTGTATTGACTTCATGATATTTTATCATAATGTGACTGTTTCATAATTTATTAAGCTAAATTTGAAACATTCCGTCCAATGTTCACCACTTGGGTTCCTTCTAACTTTTTGCTGTTAAAACTATACTTTCATAGACAGCTTTGTCCTCTTAGCTTTTTTCCCTTCTGATGACCTGTTGCCTTGGGATAGGCATCTGAGGGCGGGATCACCCAGACAATGGGCATTTTGTCTTCAAGGCCTTGGCCATCATTGCCATCCTGCTTTCCAGATGATTCCTTTCCAATTTGGAATGCCACCTACCGTGAGGACCAGTTTCACTATAGAACCACCAGTGGGAGAGGCTTTCATTTTATTAAGTGCTATTACTTAGAAAATTCAAGTGCTAACAAATTGCTTAGATTTGTATGTCTTGATTATTACGGAGAACATTTCATAGTATTTTTATTAATACTACCTCCATTTCCCCATATTGTTTTTCTTATGTGATTTCCTACCAATTGAATTAGTTCTTTGTAGAATACAGTCACTTGTCAGAACTGGTGCATATTCACTCCAGTGCTTTATAAATTTTTTTTAATTGGAGGATAATTGCTTTATAATGCTGTCAAATGTTTTGCTTAAGTGTTTTTAATGGCTATAAATTAAAATTTTTAATCATTCATTTTACTTCATAATTTAGTTCATTGCTTTTTTAAAAGCTAAGAGACTTCTCTTCCCTCTACAGTTCTGCTAATAAATCCACCTCTCTAGGTTTTCAATAATACACATTTTATTTTTAAGCATTTAATCTATCTCTGTTTTGATGTATGGTATGAAGTTGTCATTTAGCTGCTCAGTTGTGTCCAACTCTTTGCGACCCCATCGACTGCAGCCCACCAGGCTCCTCAGCCCATGGGATTTTCCAGGCAAGAATACTGGAGTGGGTTGCCATTTCCTTCTCCAGGGGATCTTCCTGACCCAGCGATTGAACCCTTATCTCCTGCATTGGTAGATGGATTCTTGCCACAGAATCACCAGGGAAGTCTCTGGTATGTAGTACTGATTTCAAATGGAGCTCTTACTGAAAAAGCAGATTTTGAGGTCTTATTCACAGATATTGAACAAGTTAGAATAGGGCCTACAAATCTGCATTTTAAGCCATCAGGAAATGCTGGTGTTGTTTGTCCACAGGCCATAGTTGTAAAATAATAGTCTACAATATTATTAAAACTAGATTTTTTTTCCCTTAAGTACTGTTCCAATAACCCTAGATATTAATAGGAACTTTACACACATTACCTACTTTGTGCTAAAGTCACATACGCATTATCATGGCACAAGGCAGACACACAACATATTTGTCAAATGATTGAATAAAAATGATTGCAGTAGATTTTACATCTGAAAAAAACAAAAGGAATCTGAAGTTATTCACAAGTCATGACTCCCTTTCCTTTCTCTCTCTGCTAATGTCTTAAACAAGTGTCTTTCCAGTGCCCTGTGGCCTGGCAGGCCGTGCCCCACACATGATGTGCTGGCTATGATGGGCTTAGCTTTTTTCTCTGCAAATTCAGAGGTAATCTCTCTAGAGGTTTTACCTTTTAGAGTCACCTTGACTTTTGCCAATGTTAACATATTCACCCAACACAACTGCTTCTGTGACATCGTTGTGTGTTAGTGGTGGGTTAGTCACTCAGTCATGTCCAACTCTTTGCGACAACATGGACTGCAGCCCACCAGGCTCCTCTGTCCACGGGATTCTCCAGGCAAGAATTCTGGAGTGCGTTGCCATTTCCTTCTCCAGGGGATCTTCCCAACCCAGGGATCGCACCCAGGTCTCCTGCATTGCAGGCAGATCCTTTACCGTCTGAGCCACCATCATTGCACCTTCATTATTCACAATTTGTGTGACGATCCCAGTTTCCCTACACATGGTTTTCAAATGTTAGATTGGTAATGTCTGCTTTCAAACTAGCGTGTGTCCTAGGGGAGAGGATAGCTCCCAGCTTACAGGCACTCAGGAAGAAGAGCAGAGGGGGCAGGATGAGCACATTTTCCATGGTACTTGGATCCTTTCCCTTTCAGCCTGGTCCCACCCAGCCCACGGCCTGGACTCACCGCGATGGCCCGGATACATTCCAAGGCAGAGGTCCTCCTCACACAGGTGACAGAGGGAGTACCCAGCTTCTTCATCCTCCACTGCCATCGGTAGCATTTGGACCACTCTGGCTGTGAAATGGCACACCACCGAACATTTTTCCTTGGGGCAGCCAGACACAGCCCTGGGAGAAAGAGGCCGAAGAGTGAGGGCTCTGTCACTGTCCGTGGAAGGGACGGCCTTGCCCGCTTCAGCAGTGGCCCTCCCCGCCCCTCTCCCTTACGTGGCTAAGTCAGGCCACTCCCCTCCGGTGGGGGTGTTCCGCTAGCCTGATGACCACTCCGTGCTGGCCAGAGGGCTGTGCCCCTCAACAAATTTGAGGAGGTGATCAGAGCCTCTGGAATCGTTTCCCTCCTCTGACAGACATACTTCCTACCCCTGAAAAAAACCAGCATCCCTTGCATCAACTTAGAGAGTTCTTCCACCTGCTTTGTTCCCCTGGAACCTAGGAGGTAGGCAGGGCAGGAAGTATTGCGTCTGTCTTTGTGGTGCAGAAGCTGACTCTTGAGGATGGCTGAGTGACAGTCAGCTCAGCACTGGCAATGTCCAGCTTGGAATCCGGGTCCCTCTAGGGTGTTGAGGCCTCAGACATCTCCCCAGAGGATGCCAAGGGAATGAAGGAAAATACACCCCACCCCTTGTCAGAAGCTGAGCTGCAGTAGGTGTTGTACCAAATAGGTCAGTGTGCCTGCATTACACCATTCACCACTGCACCGAAAAGAGGACTCTCAAGGAGGGATGGAAGTGTTCTAAAATTTATTTACTATTTACCGCAATGTTTGTACCACTTGGTAAAGTTACTAAAAATTGCTGAATTGTATACTTTGGTTCAGTGAATTTCATGATATGTAAAATATACATCAGTAAAACTGCTACAAAAAAAGGAGAAAGCCTCTTGGTTGCAAAAGCCACTCCCCTTTTGGACATGATTTGGTGGGGAGGGGGCTACATTCAGCTCTCTGCCACCTCCTATTCATGAGCACCCCCTGCACACTCAGACCCTCCGGGGTATGGAGATAGCTGGCAAGGGTGTGGCTGCCACACCCTTCCCCACTCCCCACCACCCCCCCACCACCACCCCCCCCCCCCCCGGCCAGCCACCGTCCCAGGGAAATTTCTAGGGGTGTAATCTACCCTGGGAAGCCTTCCTAGATCTGTCCTGAAGTGAGAATCAGCACTATACGATTTAGCCACTGGGACCCAGCAGGGGTTCCTGGATGCCCTCTGTATACATGGCACTGGGTGGCATGCAGAGGAACGTGCAAGCAGATGGCAGCAGCCATCTCATCGGGAGAGGCAAAAAGCCCCCAAAGATGCAACCAAGTATGATGAATGCTCAAGAAGAGAACACGTGCCAAGCCAGGTGCAATGTCCCCATGACCTCAGCCAATAATTGGGGCAGGGAGGCAATCCAAGAAGCGGGAACAAGGGGCCATGTGCATAGACTGTTGCAGGCCAGTCTATGTCAGGTCTTTACTCAGCCCTCCATGTGTTCTGTTCCCCCTCGATTCACCCAATCCCTTCTTATTGAGAGCTTTGCTGATATCCACGTTTCCTAGGTGAGAAAATTGTGGCTTTAACTTATGGCTTGCCGAAGTTTTCACAACTAGTAAGTCTGGATCCAGGATTTGAACCTAGGCAGTCAGCCACCAAGCCCGCTGCCTATGTAGACTGACTGGTTAGAGATGGGTTGCCATGGAGATGGTAAAGGGTGTGGGGGCAGGTCATGGAAAGCCTCCAGTGCTGGTCCTAGAAGGTCTTGTTCAGAAGTCGTGGAGTGGCGACTCACAGGAGGGCAGGGACAAGTGGGCTGAAACCTGAAAACCAGGCAGAAAAGTAGCGACAATGGAGAACACAACAGAAATCAGGAGGGGGGGGTGGTCACAAGATGGAAGCTGGGGGTGAAGGGAGAGAGCAAAACGAAGACCATGTGTCAAGCTGGAGGGAAGGCATGAGCAGGGGCAGGAATAGGGAACCAGGGGACAAGTTTGTTTGCTCCCTTGGGAGGGGTGAACTAGGAAACTAAAGCACCACCGAAAGGTTTTCTGAGACCCACAGCCCGCAAGCCCCCATACACCAGCGTTGGGTGCAGAACGCAGCGCTCTGTTCCTCCCCTCCACAGCTCCCAGCAGCCAGCTCTGAAGCTGTGTATCTCTCTCAAGACAAAACGATCCCCGAGGCAGACCCAGGTTTGGCCCTTCCTGTATCCCCAGCCCCACCCCTGATCTGTCTCAGTCACTCACGTGCTGCCCACTTGAGCCTGGATGGCACCCTCCTGAAAGGACACGTCCTCAGATTGCTTCTGTGCGGACACACAGTGCCGCACTCTCAGAGGCAGAGGCTGGGGTGGCGTTATTCTTCTCACCCCACCCAGCCTCTTCCCGCCACGACACCCATGGGGAACAGGGCAGGAACCCCCTAGGCCAGTGGCCGCTACTTCCGCTGGGTAGGACAAGGGATTCAGTGATACTTTGGGACGTTGGCCACCATCCCAGGGACAATAGGATTTAAACTGCAGACCTCAGTGGGGGCCAAGACAACCAAAGATTCAAGTGAAAATGGAACCCAGTGATGCAACTCTGAGCCAGATCCCAGACCACAGCCCATGACCACTTCTAGGAAAGCAAGGCTTCCTGCCCCTCCGGCGCACTCCCAGGTGGCCTCGACCCTGTGCTATGGGCCCAGCAGGCCACCGGTCATGGAGCAGAAGGAAGGGTAGCCGTGAGCTGGTGGTCCTGGCCAGGTCCAATCCTGCCTTAGAGAAGAGAGAAATAACCCACACCCCTGGGGAGGATGAGATGGTTGGATGGCATCACCGACTCAACGGACATGAGTTTGGGCCAGCTCTGGGAGATACCAAAGGACAGGGAAGCCTGGCGTGCTGCAGTCCATGGGGTTGAAGAGAATCAGACATGACTGACTCAACAACAACATGGGAAGGAAACTGGAGAAGAGGACCAGAAAAGGCAGGGACAGGTTAAAGAGCAAAAGCTCACGGTTATCCTCCAAACACCTCTTTTCATCCAGGAAGCTCCCAGCCCAGAGTAGATGCCCTAGGACAGAGGAGGCTGCAGGGGTGACACCTGGACTTTCACTGGAGTCCTGCACCCCACCCCTCAGCCCCTCACCGTGGACACTCTCCAGCCCTCAAGGCCACCGCCCTGGACCCCCCCCCCCTCCACTGCAGGAAGCCTGGCCCTCACATTTACATCACTAACGTCCTGCACCGGTGAGTGTTCTCCAGCAATCCAGGAATATTTCAGATACTTGGGGGCTGGGGGGCGGGGTCAGAAGGAACAGTGGTTTAGTCCCTTCTGCTTAGTCCCCTTCCAGTCCAGGCACATTAAAAACCAGGCACCAGTCACTTCTCTCACACCCTCTGACAGAAGGGTCCCAACAGCAGGGTCTCTGCCCCCCACTCCTGCCCCTTTGCAGTGGGAGGGCTTGTGTGCGCCTCTCTCTACCAGAGCAGGCGGCCCTGCGCTCTCCTCAGAGCCCTGTGGGAAAAGGGTTGAGCCTTTTTTCAGCGAAGCTGAGGTTCCGAAAGACTGTCTCTTGTCCAAGTTACACAGTTCTTGCAGGAGCTGGGACCCCATCTGCAGTCTCCTGAGTGTCTTGGGCAAGTCCCTCGCCCCCTCCGAATCTCATTACCATCCCCGCCTCCCTCTGTATACCCCCGCCACAGTGCTACGGGTAGGACAGAAGGGACAGGAACCGGGAAAGACCCTTAGGGGAGCTCGGCAGCTCTGGGCACCGACCCCGCCGGCTTCTCGGAGCCCAGCTCCGGGCTCCTCCCCTGGCGAGTGGGCGAGATCCGCTCCGCTCCCGGGCGCCTCCCCTGCGGCAGGTGCCCGTGCCAACCTGCCCGCTCTGGGGGGCAAGGACGCCCACACGGCGCAGAGCGGGGACCCAGACGCCCACACTGAGGGGCGAGGGGACTGGGATGCTCCCACAGCGGTGCGTGCGGGCCGGGACGTCTATCTGGAGGGACATGCCCGCCGCCCCTCGGATACCTGCACTCACCAAGGGCTCCAAGGGCCAGCAGGGCGGGGACGAAGAGCTTCATGTCTGGGGTCCTGGGGCGGCTCCGGAACGAAGGCTCTGCCACCTGCGCTGGCTCTGCGTCCCTTTATACAGTGCTCGGTGACCTCAGGAGGTTTGCCCCGCCCTGTGGTCCTATAAGCGCCCCAGGCCTCCCTCCTCCCAGCTCGTGAGGTCTGCTAGCTCCTAGAGGGGAAGAACGGGGGCGGGGACCGAGGGAGCGGGAAAGGTGCCCGGGCGGGGCTTGGGCACACGGGAGACGATTCCCAACCCACACCCACCTCTCAAGTCCCCCAGTGCTGCCTAGTTGGGGGCTGCTCTTTCTTGCCCACTTGCCCGCAGCCCCTCGGGAGTGGCAGTCCCTGAGTTCTGTCCCCCCTCCTAGAGAGGGTCGCAGTGCCTCCTAGAGAGTGGGACCCAGAGCTGGGGTCCTAAGGTGAATCTTTGTGGGTCATCTTGCCTGTCCAGATGGTATCTAAAATGCTTGGGAACCAGTTAAGGCAGACGGAGACCCTTGCATCTGCACGCAGCAGCCAGCCTGGAGTTTTGAAAGAGGGTCCAACTGCCTGGCCCGGGGTCTGCAGCAGCCTGGTCCAGCTGGCAGAGGCAATATGCTGCCCAGAGTCTGACCCAGGCTGCCGTTGGGGCCCTCCTGAGACTGCAATACAGCTCCCAGAAAACAGAACCAGAGGCCTCAGTGCCCAAAGGCTGTCTCCCAGTCCCCTCATTTGCCAATGAAAAGGATATCCTACCACTTGTTTTGTTTTGTGGCAATATGAGGTGGGAGATAGGAACCTCATTTTGATAAATGTCCTATTTTGTCCTCAGTACACAGGTTGGCCCTGTTTCAGGAAGCTGGTTTTCAATTCTAAAGCTAGAATTCTGCTCTGCATCTGCTAGAAGGATGCTCTGCATCCTTGAAATACACTCCCTTGAAGCACAACGGCTCCCACGCAGGGGTCTCCAGCGCAGCCCAGCTTATCACTCACTGATTACAAGCAAACTAAATGTCCCTCACGGAGTGGGGGCAGGACTTCCCTGGCGCTCCCAGTGCAGCATGTGCAGGTTCAAACCCACTGGGGGGAACAAAGATCCCGTATGCTGTGAGGTGTGGCCAAAAAGTTAAAAAAAAGAAAAAAAGCAGGGGGATCACATAAAACATGATGCTCTGGAACACACTGGGGGGCCCAGAGAGAAAGGGCCACCATGCAAATACTGATGAGCACTTAGCTCCAGGAGATACTAAGTGAAGAAGTCAGGTACTAACAGTGAGAGAAGTTCGCTCTGTGGGTCAGTCTGGACAGTATGTTATTCTGAAATCTCTCTGTCCTGAAAAGCTGATCTTGATTCTTTTCTTAGCCTACTGAGTACAAAAAGGATTTCCTGGAGCAGAGGGGCAATACCTAGGGAGGCGGCCCTGTTGGGGGTGGGTATGCAGCGGGCGGCACTCAGCCAAGGCGAAGCAGAGCCAGCCCAAGTCTCGGAGACCCTCAAGGAGGCTGTGGGGCCCCTCTATCCTGGGCGTGGATCCTGCCAAGGCACATGAGTGGGGTCTGACTAGGGATCCTGCTTGCTGGGCACAGGAGTGGGATCCAAGGTTCAATGGGAGAATCACCAGTTGGGTTTTGGGGTGACAGATCCAGGGTCTATCATGGTTTGGAAACATAGTGTTGCAGCATTAAAAGTTGCTTTCATCAATAACTGCAATAAGCCATTACAAAAATAATGAAGTAACACAAAATTGACTAATTCTCAGGAGTGCTGAAGCATCTTTGTACCTAAATTAGCAACTTGGCTTTGCCATTTGATGATTATAAAAGAATTAAGACATGTCACAATCCAGGTCTATATCTCCAAATGCAAATTAGAAAAAGGATGGGTTGGGAGGTCAGACGCCTGCAGATTCTCATGTCTGTTATAGCGTTGGCAGGAACACAGAGAACCTAGGGCCACAACTGAGAGGCTGAGTTGAGGGACTGCCCTGGAGGCAGGATGGGGGTAAGCAGACTGTTTTCATGCTGTGTCTTCAAGGGATGGCCCAGCCTTAGGCCAATAGAACAGCTTCCAAGGCCATCTGCAGCGGAAGCTGACAAAGGGGGTGGGTCTGCCCAGAAGACCATGTTCCACTGATCTGTTATCAACATTCATTCATTCACTCATCCAAGCCAGAACTGGTGGGTGCCAAGAGGGACACGAGAAGAGGGGGTCCCGTCCTGGCCCTCAGGAGCTTGTGGCACATTGGGGGGTGGGGTGGGCACAGGCCACTGGGAAGAGGCAAGCAGCATAAATAGAGTGAGCGAGGGAGCCGAAGGAGAGCCAGTTGACCGGTTTGCATCATCAGGGGGCCCATAAAGCTTTGAAGAAGAGCATTTGACCTAGTTGCCTGAAGGAAAGGGTACCTATCCACAAAGAGAATTTCAGGTAGAAGAAATAGCCAGGTAAAGGCTTGAGAACATGGATTCAGTGACCTCAAGGGACAACCAAAAGTTGCCCTAGGCTTTCTGACCTGGAACACTTATTGAAGAAGGATTCACAAAGTCATGTCCTCCAACCTGAGCTCCACATCAGGTGTCTATCTGTCCTTTGCTGCATGTCCTACAGGCACTACAGTCAATGCATCAAAAATAGATCTCCTCTGCTCCCTCAAGCCCCACATTTCCTCTCATACCTCCTACCACGTCCCTCCAAATGAAGAGTCTTGGAGTCATCCTCAAATCCTCCGGCAAACAAGCCCTATGTGTGTGCCAGGCACTTCATGATTAACATTGGTTGAATGGATGAGTGAATGAGTGAGGAGGAGGAACAGGAGAGCGGCAAAAGATCCTGCTTGTAATGGGTCAAATGTGAAAGACAATGAGGGCCAGGGCTGGCTATGGCAGTCACCCCAGAGCCCTTGTGCCCGGAGTCATCAATTTACCCATTAATTCAACATCCATCTGTGGGGCATCTCTGATGTGCCAGGAGCTGGGCCAGATCTCAAAGAGTTTGCAGGGAAGTAGGATGCAGGTTTCCAGATGCTGAGACAGGGGCACAGCATGAATATAAGGAATATAAAAAAGGTGACTGTGGTACAAACCTCTGTGTGACACCAGGAGCTGGTGTTTAACAGGGCTTTCCAGGGGGTGCGAGAAGTATAGAATCCACCTGTCAATGCAGAAGACACAAGAGACGTGGCGTGTGACGGAAGCTCTTCCCCCAGGATCCACCCTCTCTCCACCCCTGAAATTCACACAGCGACCCTCTGTGGTCCAAGCTAAGCCCTCCCCACAGATTGGCAGTAAACCCCAGGCCCTGCCCTCTCCAGAGTCCTGCAGCTTCAACCCCCAAGAGGAGTGCTAGAAAGAATTGAGGGATCTGGGCAGAACCGCTTCACAGGGGATATGGGAAAACAGGAATTCCCAATACATCCACTCGATGGGGGCTCCAGCCTGACTGACAGGAGACCCAGGCCTTGCTTCCTGCCCCCGCTAGTGAGGTCACTGGCTTGGTACAGAGCCACTTGTTAAATATGGAGGGCAGTCGTGGCAGGTTCCAAACCACTGGTAGCTTGGAATCAGTCAAGGTAGGAATATTTATACTGTGGAAATATGCAAATTCTAGATGTCAGGTCATTTTTCCCTCCAACAGAGCCAGTTGACAGCGCACCTCTGCCTGTGCTTGTCATTATTTGGAGGAACGCAGGGCCCATGGTTGTAAAGGGGGTGTGTGTGTCGGTGGGGGCGGGGGGGGTGTCATCCTAGCAGGGAGAAGGTAATAGTCCTTAGCAGTTAGATGGTACTTTCTCCTCCAAACAGCGCTGTCAGTCACCTTGTCTCCTGTGACTCTAACAGAAACTCTCTGAGTTAAGAAAGTCTCTGTTCCTGCTCTAAAAAGAGGGAAACTTAGGGTCACCTGTGGTCACGCAGTAAGTAAAAGATGGAGACCAAATTCCTAACCCCGAGTTGCCCATTAGGCCCTCAGCTAGGCACAGGCCGTATCTACCACCCAGCCAGATCTTTCTGAGAGCTCTGGATGCGAGACTGGGGCCCAGTGATGGCCTCTGCCCTCAGTCTCAGTGGTGGTATTGGACCCTCTTATGGACCATGAGTTTGGATAAGCTCCAGGAGTTGGTGATGGACAGGGAAGCCTGGCGTGCTGCAGTCCATGGGGTCGCAAAGAGTTGGACATGACTGAGTGACTGAACTGAACTATGGACCAGTCACTGTCAGCCCCTTCACACGTCAGCTGAGCTTCACGGAAGCACCGTGATTGCTTCATTGGTCTTCCTTCCAGATGTAGGGACTCGGGCAAAGCAGCTAGCTCGTCCACCATCCAGCTAGAAATCTATCACTGATCCCTGCCCCCTGCCCTATGACTTCTTGATGGTTTGATCGTTCCTATGCTGACCACCTTGAAGAGAGAGCAGAAAGTAAGCAAGAATGAGCAAGAGATGGATGGAGAGCTCCCTGCTTTCCGGCCAGTGCGAGGACTGAGATTTCAGATCAATGCCTTCGCGCTGGGCCCTTGTACAGAGCCCAAGGTCCCTGGGAGCCTTCAGGCGTGCCTGTGGGGGCTGGGAGGTCATCAGGAGGGAGAGGGAGCTCAGTAAGGCAGTGGGCAGGAAAACCTGGCCTCTGTTAACTAATAGGTCGTGTTGCCAATTGTTGCCCAATTTACAAAGAACCCACAGAGACAAAGAGTTTCTATTTCCGTGCATCGACCTCTTCCTCCTCCTCCCTGCCCCTCCTCATAATCAGGACCCTCAGCTGCGTGGATCCTCTCCTCTCAGGGCCAAGCCCTCCTGCGGTGGGCACCTGCAGACCTGCTGAACTACAGTCTCCCCAGCAAAGGGGCAGTGGAAACACCCCAGGTTTATCCAGCTGCAAGGTTTCAAGTTTGGCACCCCACATCCCTGGCAGCAATCGGATTCCATGAGCACCTGACTGTGGCATCCACTGAGGTGAGGGTGTGCAGCATGCCAGGCCCTGGGAGAGTCTTCCAGGAAGGTGCCAATCAAGGGCAGCCTGGAGGACGGTGGGGGCTGGC